AGAGAGAGAGAGAGAGAGAGAGAGAGAGATGAACAGCGGCAGCAGCTCCAACGATGCCAACAGTGGCTCTGAGAAGCCAGCAGCTCCGACGATCGCAACAGTAGCAGCTTCAACGATGGCAACAGCGGCAGCTCCAGTGGTGGCAGCGGCAGCTCCAGTGGTGGCAGCGGCTTGGAGGAAGTGGGCGGTGACAAGTTCGAGTGCTGAATTCGAATGACTACCGCGTTTGTCAGTACGGGGAACCGTTTTCCCTCTTCGTGTCTGGCAGCATCTGCGAGGGCAAGACGGGCCTCGAAAAGCACTGTGGCGTTTCTCAACGGCCGCCCAGGGCCCCAACTTTGTCATAGGGCCGAAATCGGAAATTTTTGAAAAAGCTTTGGTGGAAAACACATGGTAGGCAGACAGTAGTGTAATTGATAGGGTAAATTTGCAGCTCCAACCCTGTGAAAAGACAGCTTTTGCCACAAGTGCAATTGCAAACTGTATCTTGCCCCGAAGTGTAATTATAACCCCCTTTTTTGTGACTCTACTGAAGTTACCCCTTCTTTCAATCAGGCAGCCAAAAGGATAGATGGGCAGAAGGGTGAAAGGTGGGAAAAGGGAGGTGAACGTCAGGAACAGGCAGGCTGAAGAGGCTGGAGAGGCTGAAGGAGGAGGTCACCACTCAGTTCCCCACGTGAGTTCCCCAGGTTGAACTCACCTGGGGAACTGTTTGGAGCTATACTTAGGTACTAGTGGCATGTGTGGGTGTGAGTTCAAGGACGCTACAGCCGTGGAGGTGGGCTGGATATCACGATCGGTATGCCATTGGATCCAGTTTTGATAACACCTCCAAGTGTTGTAGTGGTTACGAGACATCGTTCTTTTTTTTTTTTTTTTTTTTTTTAAACAACCTTGACCGATATATTTGCACTTAAAACCATCCGTATTGATCCCAGCTGAGCTGCAGAGAACACAACCTTTCGTGGGTTTTTATGCGTTTCAAAAAGCCGGTTGTTGTAGAGGTGGGATACTAGACCGATGAAAGTCACCCACAGTACTCGCCCACTCGGTTGTCCAGATGAACCCCTCTGAAGACCCCACCCACCCTTCCTCTCATCTTTTTTGCCCTGGCCCACCCCCACCTTCCCTGTCCTACCCTAGTGTTAAACCACCAGTACTTGGGCGATGCCTTAGCGTTACAGCTACGCGATTTCTGCTGCCGGCGGGCCGTCGATAAATCGAATTGACAGCCCGCCCCGAATACAACGCACGGTCATTATAGCTAAATTTGGTCTATCTTGCAGTCTAAATTCAGCTATAATGACCGTGCGTTGTATTCCGGGGAAGACTGTAGGACTTGTTCAGCTGCATTCTGGACATGATCATTGTGGTCCAATGCATCCGGGTCGAGGCGCAACTGCAGTCAGATATGCAATTGCAAACTGTATCTTGCCCCATAGTGCAATTATATCCCCTTGTTTTGTGACTCTACTGAAGTTACCCCGGTAACCCCATTTAGGAAAGTGTTGGGGTAGCCACTGATCTAAATAAAACAGAAGTTGAGCGAGATTACGAGTTCCGTTTACAAACAAGAAATTTAAAAAAAAAAAAAAAAAAAAAAAACGTGTTGGGGTATGGCGTGAGCTGAGGCTGTACGCCCCAAAAAACACAACAGAGAGCCTAGCAACACGGCACAGCGCACACACAAATTGGGAAAAAAGAGAGTGCATCTTCGGGCCTGAGCTAAGGCTGTGCGCCCCAAAAAACACAACTCAGGGCCTAGCCACACGGCACAGCGCACACACCAATTGGGATAAAAAGAGAGTGTCTCTGCCCCAAAGATGGTGGCAAGATACCTTTGTTAGTATCCATGGCAAACGGCCAAATCTTTCCAGTTTCTGTGGGAAGTTGCACTCGTTATTTTTTCGTTTCTTGTGCCGTGTGGTGTGGCGAAACCCTAAAGAACGGGCCATGGACCAACTCCATCAGCAAGCAATGCATTGCTCTGAATGGGCCTCACCCCATGGCTCACCAAATGTAAAATGAGAATTGTATCTTCTGCGAGACCCTGGAGAAGGACACCCACCATATCCTTGTCTGTT